TATACTACGATTTTTTTTCTTCAAAAATAGTATAGTGACACGTGGCGTCAAATCGCTGGAGGGTCCTCTTTTTTAAAAAAAAAATATATTAAAAAATGAGTACAGCCGCGCGGCTATACTCTGTGCGTTTAATTTTTTTTTTAAAAAAGCAGAGTTGTCTTGACACGTGGCGCCTAATGACTGGGCTTACATGTGGGAATAGTACAGCCGCCCGGCTATACTCAGTTTTGTAATTTTTTTTAAAAACAGTATAGCCGCACGGCTATACGATTTTACAAACCCTTTAAGTAGCATAATATGTATTTCTCTTTTTAATTACTTTGATTAGTAATTGTGTTTTAGTTATTATTTGCTTAGTGAACATTGAAGGAAAAAAAGAAAAAGAAAAATTGAATTACTATTTACTAAGTAATATAATTCATGACGTTAATTAACATATTTAATACTAATTATTCACTAAATAAATAATAATTCAAATATAATTACTAATTTAACAAATCAAATCAGTCAAATATATTATTTACTTACTAAAAGTAAAATTTTAAAAAATTAATTGACCTAAACATCCTAAGTTTATATATATATTTTTTTAAAAGACCTCTCCCGACGAAATTTCGTCGGCAAAGGTTTATTTGTCGGGATAAACCTAATCCGACGGATATTTGCCGGCATAGACCTATGCCGACGAAATTTCGTCGGGAGAAGTGTTTATGTTAATTTTTTTTTTAATACAAATATAAAATTAGTTTCATTACTTTTGATTTTTCCCCAACTTCTTTAATTTAATTAATATCTTATAGTCTTTTATACATATATATATATATACATACGTACGTATGTATTTTTCAATAATACATTCGTATTCTATACGTGTCTACTAGTTTTGAAAAAACAAACGTACAATAGTCGTATTGTACATGTACATACGCATTTATAATGCTTAATACCCGTATTTTTTAGAAAATTTTCAATAATTCACACAAAGTTCACGTATTATACAAATAATTCTCGTATATTATTGCATACCAATAATATATGTTATAAAAGTTATACTAAAACATTATACAGTGGCTTATTAGTATCTACTTTGGATATGTTGAAACGAGCAAATTAATATCAATAAAGTACAAACTAATGAAACTTGGAGGGTCCTCTTTTTTTATTTTTTTATTTATGTATTAAATAGTATAGATAGACCTTCTAGAATAGTATAGCCGTGCGGCTATACTACGATTTTTTTTCTTCAAAAATAGTATAGTGACACGTGGCGTCAAATCGCTGGAGGGTCCTCTTTTTTAAAAAAATATATATTAAAAATGAGTACAGCCGCGCGGCTATACTCTGTGCGTTTAATTTTTTTTAAAAAGTAGAGTTGTCTTGACACGCGGCGCCTAATGATTGGGATCCTCTTTTTTTACATGTGAAAATAGTACCGCCGCACGGCTATACTCAGTTTTTTAATTTTTTTTTTAAAAACGGTATAGCCGCACGGCTTCACTATTTTGCAAACTCTTTAAGTAGCATAATATGTATTTCTCTTTTTTAATTACTTTGATTAGTAATTATGTTTTAGTTATTACTAGCCTCTCTGCATGCGCTTCCGCATCTGCAAGAGGCTTTTTTTATAAAAAAAAAAAAAAAAATTATTTTAGAATTAAAAAAAGATAATGGGTAGTTGTGTTCCTTAAAAGGAGGATCCATTATTTGGTTTTTCTTTTAATTTTAATTTTTTTTAATATGAAAAAGTGTGAATTTACCATATTATCCTCATGTAATTAATAATTTTAATTCTTAATGTTTGCATTCACCAAGGGCATTTTCTGGTATTTTGAATGTTTCACCATTCTCTGTCTTTTGCTTTATATATATAGATTTACTTAGTGAACATTGAAGGAAAAAAAGAAAAAGAAAATTTGAATTACTATTTATTAAGTAATATAATTCATGACGTTAATTAACATATTTAATACTAATTATTCACTAAATAAATAATAATGCAAATATAATTACTAATTTAACTAATCAAATCAGTCAAATACATTATTTACTTACTAAAAATAAAATTTTAAAAAATTAATTAACCTAAACATCCTAAGTTTATATATATATTTTTTAAAAAGACCTCTCCCGACGAAGTTTCGTCGGCAGAGGTTTTTTGGTCGGGATAAACATAATCCGACGGATATTTGCCGGCATAGACCAATGCCGATGAAATTTCGTCCGGAGAAGTGTTTATGTTAATTTTTTTTAATACAAATATAAAATTAGTTTCATTACTTTTGTTTTTTCCCCAACTTCTTTAATTTAATTAATATCTTATAGTCTTTTATACATATATATGTACGTATGTATTTTTCAATAATACATTCGTATTCTATACATGTCTACTAGTTTTGAAAAAACAAACGTACAATAGTCGTATTGTACATGTACATACGCATTTATAATGCTTAATACCCGTATTTTTTAGAAAATTTTCAATAATTCACACAATGTTCACATATTATACAAATAATTCTCGTATATTATTGAATACCAATAATATATGTTATAAAAGTTATACTAAAACATTATACAGTGGCTTATTAGTATCTACTTTGGATATGTTGAAACTAGCAAATTAATATCAATAAAGTACAAACTAATGAAACTTGGAGGGTTCTCTTTTCTTTTTTTAATTTATGTATTAAATAGTATAGATAGACCTTCTAGAATAGTATAGCCGTTCGGCTATACTACGATTTTTTTCCTTCAAAAATAGTATAGTGACACGTGGCGTCTAATGGCTGGAGGGTCCTCTTTTTTTTAATAAAAAAATAAAAAAATGAGTACAGCCGCGCGGCTATACTCTGTGCGTTTAATTTTTTTTAAAAGTAGAGTTGTCTTGACACGTGTCGCCTAATGACTGGGCTCCTTTTTTTTACATGTGAAAATAGTACAGCCGCACGGCTATACTTAGTTTTTTAATTTGTTTTAAAACAGTATAGCCGCACGGCTATACCATTTTACAAACCCCTTAAGTAGCATAATATGTATTTCTCTTTTTTAATTACTTTGATTAGTAATTATGTTTTAGTTATTATTTACTTAGTGAATATTGAAGGAAAAAAAGAAAAAGAAAAATTGAATTACTATTTATTAAGTAATATAATTCATGACGTTAATTAACATATTTAATCCTAATTATTCGGGAGAAGTGTTCATGTTTTTTTTTTTAATTTTTTTTTAATACAAATATAAAATTAGTTTCATTACTTTTGTTTTTTCCCCAACTTCTTTAATTTAATTAATATCTTATAGTATTTTATATATATATATGTGATGATGTTCCAACTATCAATGTGCACTCTGATGAGCCCAAGTCCAACAAACCAAATGCTCGGAACAAGGATAAAAACAATGTACATGGATCAGACATGACAGAGCTATGCAATGCAAGTGGAGATATAATTGTAGATCAAGTGTATGAGACTGAGGATATAAAAACGAAGTTGGGTCTTGATGCTATGACGAAAAATTATGAGTTCAAAGTGAAGAGATCCAATAAAGAAAGATTTGAAGTTAGTTGTGTTGATGATTGATGCATGTGGAAACTGCGTGCATCCAAGGTACAAAAATCCTCATATTTCATGGTGAAAAAATATTTTACAAAACACTCGTGCTCATTGGATGCTATCCATCGCCATCATCGACAGGCAAGTAGTTCTCTTATTGGCCAATGCATAAAATCTAAGTACGAGAGTGTATCACGAGTACATAGACCCCATGACATCATGGAGGATATGCGAAAGGACATGGGTGTGAGTATAAGTTATGTGAAGGCTTGGAGAGCTAGGGAACATGCACTGGAGTTGGTTAGGGGATCGCCAGAGGAATCTTATGCGATGCTTCCATCATATTGTGCTATGTTAGAAGCCAAAAATCCTGGTACGATAACTCATATTGAAACTGACAGTAATAATCATTTTATGTATTTTTTCATGTCACTTGGACCTTGCATCAGAGGATTTCGCACTATTATCAGGGCAGTAATTGCACTTGACGCAACATTTTTAAAAGGTAAATATCATGGGACATTGTTTGTTGCCACATGCAAGGACGGAAATAACCAAACATACCCTGTTGCATTCGGAGTTGGAGATTCAGAGAATGATGCATCTTGGAATTGGTTTTTGACAAAATTACGAGGAGCTATTAGGGATATTAATGACTTAGTTTTCATTTCTGATAGACATGAAAACATTCGTAAGGCTATCTCCACTATATTTCCGGATGCTCATCATGGGGCATGCATATTCCATATAAGTCAGAATCTTAAGAACCATTTTAAGCATGAGAGAGCGCATTCACTGTATTTTAGAGCTACTAAAGCATATCTTGTTCATGAATTTGATCGTCTTATGGTGCAAATATTTAATGTTGATTCCAAAGTGGGTGATTATCTTAATGTGGCTGGATATGAAAAGTGGGCTCGTGCACACTTCAATGGGAAGCGGTACAACCTAATGACAACAAATATTGCTGAATGTCTCAACTCAATCACCAGAGATGCTCGTAAACTACGTATTACCAATTTTATGGAGTATTTAAGAATGAATATACTTCAAAAGTGGTTCCATGACCGTCGAACTGAGGCAGCCAAAATGGATTCACATTTGACAGAGTGGGCATAAAATTTGGTGCAAGAAAACAACAAGAAAGGGTTGCCGTTGCAGGTACTTTAAATTCATTAAATTTTATTTTGTTGCAAGTAAGGAATATATGCAGACATTTGACAGAGTGGGCAGACATTTTATTTTGTAGATTTTGCTGATATTTTTATTTGTTATTTTATTTAAGGAATACATGCATGATAATATTCTATAGATCTTTTGAAGATATTTCAAATAAAATAATTGCGGAGTATTATAAATATATTTCTTGTTTCTTAAATATGCAGGTTTCGCCCATTGAGGTTTACTCATTTCATGTATAGGATGGATGTCATGTTGAAGTTGTAAATTTAGAGAGGAAGTGTTGCACATGCCGAGAGTTTGATCTTGACCAACTACCATGTGCACATGCTTGTGCTGCATGTAGGCATCGACAAATTTCATGTTACCCAATGTGTACACAATATTATACTACAAACTCATTAATTGGTCATTGTGTATGCAAAACCTATTTGGCCAGTTGGGGATCAGACAGATTGGGTGGTACCTAATGACGTACGAAATAGAATTGTCCTACCACCAATTACACGAAAAAGGTACGGCAGGCGCAAGGAAAAGAGAATCCCATCACGCGGAGAAGAGCCATCAACTCATAAGTGTTCAAGATGTGGTTCAACTGGTCATTATCGACAAACTTGCAAGAATCCGATTGCACTTCATCCTACCTCGTAGATAGGTGTAATATTTTACTATTTAAATTTATGAATTAGTATGAACAATGGATGAATATTTAATTTTATAATTTTCTTAAACTTTATGGTGTAAACTTTTGAAGATGAGGAATAAAGCATGCTTTCCCTCACAATTTTTGTAGATTTGAGATGATATATAGTAGCGATGCAACGCTTTTGGTTTGGCCCATGTGAGGTTAAAGTCTTTGCACATAGATTCAATACTTTGATAACATATCTTTTCATTTATCCTATCTCGACGTCTCTGCACATAGATTCAATACTTAGCCATTTTCAAGAGAAATAACGTCATCTGAGAAGGAAGGTGAACAACTTGTTTTATCAGCGAAGCTATAGTTCAAGCTAAAGTACAGACCCTCTCAGAGAGATTGTGGACCTCGACAGCACGGGATGTCTTTGTAGATGTTGATCCTCAGACTTGTTTTTTTCCATTAGCATATTCAAACTCAACATCCTGTTTAAAATCATTAGAGAAAAGAACAATTACTTCTAATATCCAATAGTAAATTGCATAAGTATAGGAAATATCATCTTCTTCATGGTCCCTACTGCTGAAAGGTCCAATAGCAAACTGCTGACTTGTACATGAGCTTTCTTTTTAAGTTTACATGGGTTTTAATTTTTAAGGGCATTTGTGTCTATTTATGTGAGTTTTTGGCTATATTTGAAAGATTTTATAAAAACTGACATTTTTGAAAGTAAGGGGTAAATTTTGGCTATTTTTGATAAAAACTCGTTTGAAAATGAGCAAAACACTAAATCAATGATAATATGGCAGGCATATCCATCCTTGTTGCGGGCCTAAATTTATGAAAGGGTAAATGGCGGAAAACCCCCCTGGATTATTTCGACTGTTGAAATGTCCACCTTGGAAATTTTTTTCAACCAATTTAGCCTTCGTATTAAATTTAATCGCCAATTTCACCCCTGCCGATAGATTTTCCCCAATTCCATCCAAATGCCTGTCAAATATAAGGGTAAATTTGACATTTTACAAGGTAATGCATTAAGAAAAATAAGGAAAATGTAATATAATATATTTAAAAGGTATAGCCGCCCGGCTATACTGGCAATTTCATTGTACAGAGGAAACCTTCACAGAGTCCAGACGTACCTCGTCGATGGCTTATGCCAACCCCTAAAATTTCTCTCAAGGACTTCAAATCCCTTTTAACCCGTCGCTCTATAGCTCCCCAACAAAACAAAAATAAAATAACACCATTAATCAATCACATGTTGCATTTCAGCAACAACATCAGCAGAAGCAGAAGCAGAAGAAAACCCACCCCAATAATTCTTCTCTTCGAAAAATGCCCAATCCTTCTCAGGCCTTCTTCGTCGGCGATCGCATAACAAATTTTAAGGCTTTCAGATCTTGCTTTCTGTTCTGGGGATGGAGGTCGAGGTCTCCGGTTCGAATCCCTCGGCCGATGCGAAATTGAGGAGAGCGGATTCACAGAAGGATAAGCTTCGCATGAAGCGGAAGACTCTGCAGGCTATGCTCGAGCAGTGCCAGAGAGCCCTCGAGTCGCTTGATACCACTGGGGGTGCTGACGGCGACAATGATGGAGATGATAACGGTGAGGATGAAGACGATGATGATGATAACACGTGGTTTTTTTTACGGCCATTTGGATGGAATTGGGGAAAACCTAACGGTATGGGTGAAATTGGCGATTAAATTTAATACGAAAGCTAAATTGGCTGAAAAAAAAAATTCCAGGGTGGACATTTCAACAGTCGAAATAGTCCAGGGGGGTTTTCCGCCATTTACCCTTTATGAAAAGGGTTTGGCATTAATCTTTTAGCTGTATGCATTGTAAATTGAATATCTTTCTGCAGTAACAAGTGGAATCTAAAAATGAGTATATATATATATATATATATATAAGAAATTCTCCTATGCAGACATTCAGACGTTATTATCTTACGGACATTATGTATGTTGTACTACCCCTCCTTGCTTTCTTGCATGTTTTCCCTGCTGTCTTGCATGTTTACAATGACATCCACATGATAATAACGTACGAACATCCGGATAAGATATATATATATATATATACACAAACATGTATATAGTAGCGCTGAAGTGTTAACCAATTGGTAATTAATACAACCATGATTCAAAAATAACTAGGGCTAACTTTTAAGCCAACTTTTCCAATCATAACTAACTAGTTGGTAATTTAATATGGCGCTAACCAGGTATGGATCCATGATTCAAAAATAATCAGGGCTAACTTTTAAGCCAACTTTTCCAAACTCACACACACTACATGAATGCTATGACTTGAACTCAGAACCTTTCTTGGAGGGAGCATTTGCTCCAAACCACTATACTAGTGGGCCCTTTTGCACTAATTTAGGTTATTTGACCATGGACAAATTGTTGACCATTTTTCTCCTAATAATACCTTGAATTTTATTTACATTCTATCATGGAAAGAACACATCTATGATCTATCCCATTTAATCAACGTTTCATATTCATAATTTATCGGACAATCAACATTAACCCTTATTAAGCTCCAATTATGCACTATGATTTGCTTGAACTCCATATTTGAACAGCTCACCTTAGTGGACCAACCTTAAGGGCCAGTCACAATAAATAGATAGGCCCATAGGTCATACATCCTTAAACTAGCTTTCGGCTCCATGGTGTGTAGTGATAAAAGGGGCCCATTTCATTGTACTGCCCACGTATCATATCAAGGAATAAGAAAAATCAACAAGGGCAAAATTTAGACATATATTTCTGCGTGATCCTGGAATTGTATCCCTTATTTTATGTGGATGGATGGATGCGTTACTTTACTTGCAGTAATATGGCCATAGGGTTAGGCTAGCAACTCATGCAAATTTCAAAGATTTTGTACTTACTGCTGGGTTAGAGTTCTTTCCTTTAGTTGGAGGTCCAAAAGTTATTGCTGGTTATTCCTGCCTACTTTTTGATGAGTGTTTGGTCTGCTTATTCCCTCATTTGGTAATTGCTAAAAAATTTATTTTGTAAAAAGTCTACTCATAAACTTGTTTCAACATTGAGGACCCCCCTTAACTTCTGATGGGCACGATGATCGCACCAACATCTCTAGCTCATTATGTTCCTCATCTCAAACAAGAATATTTTTCAAATTCTAAAGAGTGAGCTACCATGTCTATTACCTGAAGGAACAGCAAACGCAGCACCAGCGAAATCAAATAAAATGATAGTTATTAAAAGGGAACTCTGTTTTACAAGAAATACAGAGACATATATTTCGAGGCTGTGCGTAGGATTCTTTTCTGAAAACGAGTTTGATTGAAGAAATGAATGGGGTGTAAATTGTAGGAAAATAAAGTAAAAATACAGATAAAATAGTACACAGAGAACCCGAAGAGTCTTTGCAACTTATTCCAAACATAAAGAAACTGCAAAAAAAGATGGTGGTGGAGATCCGACGTCAAAATGCAGGTGGAGATTTGACGTCGAGACGTAGCCGCTTGTGATGGTTGGATGAAAATCATAACAAAACGATTATTTGTCTATGAAAATGGAGAAAGAGGTGAAGGGAGAAAGAGAAGAGGGGAGAGGGGAGGAAGAACTATGGTTTACTCCCCCCTCAAAGTGAAAACAGCTCTAAGAGTGTTTTTTGGGAGAAAGGAAACTAAATTTTTGGAGGTTTATCAAGGGACATTTGATTTTGATGTAGGATATTTTGGGATAAACGTCTCCTATTCAAGGGACCTCATTGTGATTCTTTTTAAAAACATAAATATAGGACATTTGCAACCTCATTATGATCCTTTTAGGTCTAATATGTGTTAGTTCTTTTTTCGGTTACATAGGAGGGAATCGAACTTTGAACATATCATAATTAACCTATACGCCACCCTTTCTCTCCTACTTGGGCTAACCCAAAGGATTTAACATGTATCAGTTTTTTAAATGTATAAAACAAACATCAATTCTTTGACGAAAAAAACAAACAAACAAACATCAATTTTCTTTGAAGGAAACGAAATAATAGAAGGCAGAAGACAAACAAGTCGTTACTCAGAATTTCGATTATCATACAACATTGTAAAACGGAAATAATAAAAAATAGAATATAGAATAATAAGCTATAAAGAAAAGGTCGTAGTCCCCTTTCTTCTATGTTGCTTTTTTGTGTGTTGCTGAAAGTTATAAATGAGGAGGGGGTTTTCTCACACAATATCAATGTGTCATGGAATTTCAAACATGAGATCGGTGATATGCAAATCAAGAACCCTCCATTATTTTATGAACAAAGAAAAGTTGGAATCAATGGTCCCCCCTTCAAACCAAATTGCATAACAGAAATTCATATGAGCCATGGCACCCACGCCACCAACCCAATGGTACTTGTCCTAACCCCAAGGCTAGGCCTACCATTATTTAATAATACCATTAATTGTTTTATTATGCTCAACACTTTATATATTTCTCACGATTCTCCACCAACAAATACCTGCTCGCTCTTTTACCCATATCTCAAATTCTAGAAGTCAGCCGAAACCCAAACACCACCCCCAACAATATTTTAAACAAGAGTAATGGTGCCTGCCAGCTCCAACACAAACAAACCCCAAGCAATCCCCACCTTCATCAAAAGCGCATTACAGCTATCTTCCATATTAATTTCAAATTAATTTTCTTTCCTTAAAAGCCATTACACAAAATATTAATTAATTCGTGTACCTAAAAATAAACAGAAATCGAATCAGCACATAACGTGCACGCCCTTCCCTTCCCCGCATTAATCATTTAACTACTACTTTATGCTATATACTACAATTTACAAACACACAGATGGAACTAATTAAAAATTAATTAACGTGCTTAGCTGCCATCAATTAGATTACAGCTAATCCACACTTCCTCTATTTAATTAATCCAAATTAAAGTAACATAAAATATTGTTCAAGTCAGCGACTACAAAAATTCCAACTAAAGCAAGCCCTTCATTTAAAAAACTAAAAGGGAAAATTAAACACAAGTCACACGAGCAAAAACAAAGCGTGCCCTGCCTAATCTCTCTCTCTCTCTCCTCTCACTGTACACACTACACAGCTCTCTCTCTCTCCTCTCTCCTCTCTCCTCTCTCTCTGTTTGTTAGTAGTAATTAAAAATAGTTTTTTGTTCTCCAGCAACCAAACTCAGAATAACATAAAAAATTAAAAAAAGAAAGGACCAAATCCCATTAAAACGACGACGTAGCCCTATCCGAGTCATCGGAGCAGCTCCGAGTCCGGACATAGCTCCTTCCTCAGCCGTTGAGAGAAAAGCCTGCAGGCATCCATGCTCAGATCAACGGCTGCGGCCAACGCCACGTAAGCCGCGGCGTCCTCCGTACAGTTCACGTGCTGCACGCTCACCTCCACCGCAGGCTTGCTGCACCTGCCCTCACCCTCAACCTTTGCCGACATCACAAAACCTCTGTACAAGCAATAGGGCCACAACCCGTACCCGAAATCCCCGCTGCCCCGCGGGCTGCAACCCGGAGAGTTTGGGCCGGGTCGGGTACCGGAACTCGAACCCGAACCCAGATCCAGTACGAATTTCCCGCCCTTGTTTAAGCTGAGAGTGGACTCGGCCAATACAATGCCGGCACCGCTGGTGTCGGGAATGAGTTCGAAGCGGTACCCGAGGCCATCGGAGCCGCCTCTTTCGCGCCAGGCCTCGAGGCGACCCCACGGTTTCCACGTGTTGTCGCCGGGTCGGAGGATGAGCCATGATCCCGGATTGGACCGACTGACCCGGTCCGAACCGGGTGAGGCCACGAAGGGCGTGACCATCGAGGCTGCGGCTACGGGCGAGCCGGAGAGGTCGTGGACCGTTATGGACCAGCCCTTTCGCTCCTTCCCCGGTCGCTCTCTCTCGCTCCCAAACGAGCCTAACCAGCTTCGAGAGTTGCCGTGGTCCAAATGTAAAGACCTGTGAACAGAGGGGCAAAATGGGAATAAAAAAATCAATTCAGAATCTGCGTATAAGGCTTTAATGGGAAGGATTCAATTTAGAATGCAACTGGTAAACAACGCATCAAACACAGAGAATCTAATATAATAAAATATTTATATAAAAAAAAGTAAATTAAGAAGATGAAAGGGGCAAAATGAGAATAAAAATTAATCGACAGTAAACAAACTTTGTAAAAGCTCCGGAATGAAACAGGGACCTGGTTAATAAAAAATGGGCCTAGAATCAACGTAAAGAGCTTTAATGGGATCAGAGTCCGCTTGAAGGATTCAATTGCAAAACGCCGTCGTAAAGCGAACAAAATTGTGAGCTTCACTACTCTAATTTAATTATAGTATCAAACTTTTACACAAAACATTCGCATTCACAATCTCGAATCAAACACAGAATCTACTTTTTTTCTTTGCAAAAAATAAAATAATAATAATAATCATACCGAAACCCTAACACAGACGAAGATAATTTGGGAAAAAAGAAGAAGAGGGAAATGAATAATACCTGGATCTTTGAGTGCCTCGGTCGCCGGTGCTTCTGAAGCTGAACTTGCAGGTGAAGACGGGCTGCCGAATGTTGCCTTGGATCTGAAATACTTGTGGACTACATTCGGGTTCTCCGTCGAACTGGAAAACGAATCTCGGGTCGGGTTCGGCCTTCACATTCAAATGGAACTGGGTCTGGCCCGAGAACACGCCTTTGAGAACGCCTTTCCCTACGGAGACCCACCCGTTGTGGAACACACTGGGCTTGGACTCGGTTCCCGCCAGATCCAGCGGCACGGAAACCCGACCCAACAGCCTTCCGGAATTGACGCCGCAGGTGCTGCCTCTGCGACCCGTGTATATCGAGATTTTGAGGCAGAGCTTGGGGGCGAATATGGACTTGGACCCGACCCGGTCCAGATCCGACTTGCTAAGGTGGAAAGTAGCGGCGACGCCGTTTGCCTGAGCGGCGCTGTCGAGGGTTTGGGCCTCCGGCGGGAGACAGGGAACGACGGCGTTTTGAGGGGGTAGGTTGTTGAGCTTGATCTTGCAGAAGCATGGTGATGACGAAGGGTGGACGACGGAGCGGGCGGGCTTGGAAGCGACTGGGATCTTGAGAGCGAGATTGCCCACTGTGACCCGCACGAATGGGCAGGGATCCATTGCAGAAAGCAAAGTAAATGCAAAGCAGAAGCTCCTCTCCCTCAGTCTAGGGCAATGCCATCGATGCTCTGGTTTTGTGCTCTGTGTGTTTGTTTATTGAGTTTCTAAATTGGAAAGTGTAAAGGGCTAGAGGAGAGAGAAAGAGATGAATTTTTAATTGTGATTTTTGTTTGGGGGAGGTTGGGAGACAGCTGGGTACAGGCTGGCATGACTGCCAGCTCAGATAGAAGTTGACGCCATATTGAGGATTGTGGATGAATGGGAAGTTTTCTCTCTCTGTGTATGTAGTGGGCCCCACACCTCTCCTCCTCCTGAGTCTGACCAACTCTCTAACCCAACCCACCTACACTGGTCCAGGTCCACTGTCTCTACAGCACTGCCTCTTTTAATTTTCAAATGTTTTTTTACGCTTTGTGAAATGACGAATTCGGCCCCGGTCCCTTCCAGCTATAGAAGGAATCTCCGGCTCTCTATGCAAAACCCCGGCGCACACACTTGTCAAATCTGCGTGCTTTCTTCTTTCCCGTCTCCTCCTCTTCCCTCACGTGGACTTCCCCCTGCACCGCAGAGCCACGGACCACGTGGGGCCCGCTCATTGATTTGGGCTTCAAATTGGTTTTGCCTCTTTTATTTTGTTTATCTGTCTGTTTCGTTTTAGCACCAATTCTGTTAAGTCAGTGGTTATGGATCCCTGTCATGACACGTTGCAGAAGGATGACTATAATTCTTCCTTTGGATGCTTGACTTTGACCCTTTATGTCATATTTATGTCATATTGATGTCATTACTCATTGTAGTTAGTACTGGAAAACAACTCAATTTCAACATTAAAAAAAAAAAAAAATTGAGTTTAAACCAAGCAGGAGGAGGTGGTTGCCATTTTATCATATTTTGCCACTCTAAATACATATCCACTTACTTAAAGTGGTCGTTATTCTTCCACATAAGGTAGGATTTCAAACTATTAACACTTCCATTCAACTACAAATTATTTGTCATATTCCAAATTCACGAAAAGAACAATTAAGTCACAGTCATTAACTTGCTCAATTAGAACTACTAGAATTTGCAAGATTATCAGATCAAATTCTCAAATATGTTTACGCACTTCCATTTCCACATAGTGATTTCAATAGTACAACATTACAATTTAAAGTCTTCCAAAACAAGCAAATCTTTTATAGAGCAACCAACAAACATATTTTTATTTTTATTTACTCCCTCTTCTCTGTTCCTCTCATACCAGTGGCACTTATCTCCATAACAAAAATATTCTCGAACTCATTAGTACTCTTCTTCGATCTCTCAGCCAAAAACCCACCATTTATTTATTATTTTCCACTCTTGGTTTCTATAAGTTCTCAAAAGACAATCAGATTTCTTATTCATATCCTTTAATTTATTTACTTTTGTTTTATGTTCCTGCAATTTCATACTAGATATTCTCTTTGTGAAGATGTTATTTATAAAATCTTTTTCCAAAAACCAGATGCTGCAACAAATTCTTATAATTTGATTGAAACCTATTCGTTGTTGCTCTGTTTTTTTTTTCTTTCTGTTTTTCTTTGGTTTTTGGCTCTATTGTTCTTGTTTTGTTTGCCTTTTGTGGTTGCCTAATGAAGCTTTGTTGACCAAAAAAGAAAAAGGGCATTATAACCTTCTCCCTAAACCTTATTTTTCTTTTTTAGTTTACTATATTCAAGAGGATGAAACATAAAAGGGCCTCATTTTAATTTCTGGTCCTGGGTCAACCAAAAGTCAAGACCGACCCTGCTACTGCACAACACCCATGTTTTACCACCATAAATCCTCCTTTCGTCTTGTCGCCGGCCATTGTGGCTCCCCAACCCAGCCGCACATCACTGCCGCTGTGTTCAATAGTATGTGAATAAGAATAACAAAGAGTACTCTATCCCTAAAAGAAAATGAGAAAAAACAAATTTTGTTACTGAATTGAAAAGCAGACGGGTGTTGTAGCAATTAACAATTTGGGTTACATCGGTTTTCCCACAGCTTGCTCATAGAGTGCAAGTCCCACTTGTATATCGCATCGAACAAGTTGGAGTTCTTACCTTCTTGGGACTCCGTTGACCAAGATATGCTTTCATTATACCGATCTACTTTAGTAGATCATATGGATGTATTGAATTTGATATAAGTGAGGAAACAACAATTCGTGTAACCCAATACATGCATAATTACGTAACCCATTGAATTTGTGTAACCCAATTTGAAAATAATAGCACATTTTGCTTGTTGATTAGGGATTTATTTTTTGGTCAAATGTACTTTCCATTAAACAAAAGAGAGTACATCAGAAGGTGAAACACGACTACTAACAGCCAGACATAGCAAACAAAGAGCAAACACCACAAGGCTACCAACAGCCCAAAAACAAAGCCAACTAAACACAAACAAACACCAAGAACAAGTAATCAGGTTAGATATCAGAGTATCGACACCTTCCAGGGGAGCGTGTTCGTCTCTAAACAGAAGACTACTGCCTAGGCTCAAACTGAACAAAATAAAAACCCAACCTAAAGTGCCAAAATAGTAGGCCCAAAACAACAAAAGCCCACAAAATGTGCAAAAACCCTAAAATCTAACCCTAAACAAAACAAGTCGCCACTGTCACAAGAAAAGAAAGGGCCATGGGAACTAAGAGAGGAGATATGTAGAGTGTGGATTTGGGTTAGCAAGCCCCAAGCATCATACTCAAGCGATCTATCGATTTGTGGTCAAGATTGACCACATATTTACAGAGCCCACAAGTGCAGATCCAAGTATTAGATCTGAGAATGGGTTGATGGAGTAAAACAACTACAGCAATCCAGTGGCAAACCAAGTAAATCTTAGGGATAGAGGACTTTTGGATTTGAGATTTGGTGGGAGAAGAGATACGGGTCGACGGAGTGGTGGAGGGATGAAAGGAAAGAGAGATGAGGGAGATGTGAGGGCTGTAGAACAAAGGGGGAGGAAGTTTAGAGGAAGAAGTAGAAGATTTATGGGCCAGCATTAGAGAATACAAGAGAGGAAGGGCTTTCAAAATGAAAAATAGAAAGTAAAAATAATAAAAAAATTACACAAAAGGAGGCGGAATAGCCACACCAGAGGTGGCGGAGATCATTTTGGCATGTGCAACCGAAGTCTATTCCAATTGCAAGGCTTCTTCAACTGTCCATTTTTTTTTGTTAGCTTTAACTATCTTTTAGTCAAAACAATTTCACTTTGAAAACTAATAATATATAAGTCGTCATTAGGGGTGGGCATAAATTCGGGCGAACTAATGAAACTGGCTGATCCAAATTGTAATAACCAGTTTGGTTTGGTTTTGACCAAGAAAAAGTCAAACGGTTTAAAAATCGAATCAGACCGTATATGGTTTGGTTTGGTTTGATTTTGAGCTTTTGTAAGCCGATCTAAACCAAACTGAACCGTTTATGTGTATATTTATTTATTTATATTATATTTTACATGTGTAATACTCTAATTAGGCAATAACTATGTATGGATATTTGAATTGAGCTGTAGTAGTTATTGAAATTTGAAGTTTTATAGCATGTTGAGCTTTATGATAGTTTCATACTTGGAAAATTATTTAAGTATGGAGCAAGTTGTGAATTTCTTGGTTGTAATTGCTCTAACAATGTTGGAAAAATGCAAAAAGGAAAGAGAATTGGGCTTAGGCCCAAACCGGCCGAACCAAACCGTCTTCATGACTTTTGTCAAAATTGAACCAAACCAAACCGTTATATTGTAATTAGTTCGGCCGTAGTTTTGAGATAAAACCGATCCAATCCGGACCGTGCCTGTCCCTAATCGTCATAAAGGGAGCAAATTGCAGAATCTGTTCTTATAATATTCCATATGAAAAATCTTGAACTCATAGAACACAATGAGGAGGTTTCTCAGACACCATGGTTGAATATCTTCATACAAAAATGGAGAAGAAAATAGAGTTACAAATCTTGATCAGGTCCTCGCAAAGAGTGGCAAAGTAGAAGTGATCTTTATTTACAGTAACATCAGTCGAAATCTTGATAAATAATGACGTAGAAGGTGATTTCTTTTGGTATTAAAAGTTGGATATGTGCCCCAACATCTCCATCCTTGGATGGTTCACCTAGTTATCTTGTTATGTCTATCATCTCTTCCTGTTGGAATAAATGTGCTGATTAGTTGGCCGTATGATTTTTGGTAATCTTCGGGTGTTGGAGAAGGTATATTATCTTCCTCTTGGAATAAATGTGCGACATGCCTACTAAAAGTAACGCTTATATTTATCAAAAGAAAAAAAAAGGTAAAGATTTTATTCCATGTAAAATAATGACACTCAAGAGATGGAGAACAACAGCTGCAATGACAGAAATAGTTGACCAAGGTGTGTTGAAATAGTTTTGCCTCAAATTTGCCTTCCATCTGTGCCAGGGCGTTCTGCAGTACTTGCAGGGCCGGCCCTTGGCCAGGGCAACCAGGGCCACCGCCCGGGGCCCACGATTGAGAAGGGCCCAAAAAAAATTTATATTAGCTTACTATTTAAGTTAGTGTTTTAAGGCTAATATAAGAGCTAAAAGGATTCCTATTTAATTGTGGATTAGAAGTTATAAACCTAATGCAATAAGGACTTCTTAAGAGTTTCTTGATGGGCAAGACTCTTAGGTAGATGCATATAAATACATGTGCCCCTGCTCAACCGATCATGCCAACCCACACAAAAGAATTCATCCCATCTAGAATGAGTGTATGAAGGGATCGGATTGAGGAGATGTGCTCTTGTATATTCTTGATGTGTGTTCTATCATGTGTAGTCATTATAGTTTACAATAAAAATATGAAAAATCGGTTTTAGTGCAAAATACGATTTATGCTAAAAATGATGGCTCATTAAGTCAATATATACTTCATACTAAAATCCCATAAAATCAAGTTTTCTTATTTGATGTATAAGGAATAAAAGCCGCCAAAAATTATCTTGAGAAAATGATTATTCCAAAAAAACCATTTTTCATACTTAGTCAATATTGCACATCCGCTAAAAAAATTATGGGTCCGCCAATGGTGGCATACATAAGAATTCTCTCTCTTTCTCACCCAAAGCACGCATCTCCTCCCTGGGTTTCTCTAAACAAGGATTTTCTTATCAGGCTTTTGGT